CATTGAGTCTTTTCATTGAAGAGTAATTAGATTCCCTTAGTTCCTGCTTGACTTTACTCTGTTAACAAGGTTCCCGTAAATACAGACTCAGCACACTTTGAAGCAATGGAGTAAAAGACGCTTTTGAAACACACCACACCGCCTCTGATGGAAGTTTCAGTGCTGCAGCTGTGTTTTGCCTGGTATATTTCAGTGCTTGTACAGTAGGGTCAATAAGTGTTATATGTTTTAAGACAGGGTTTTTTTTTAAAATTGTATTCATATGTATGTATATACATATATTTATTTATTTATTTCCAAGCAGCTTTATGTTGGTGTGTGTCGGCAGTTGTTGCTTTGAGTTGGCTAGAGAGTTAAACAACTCTGCACACTCCCACACAGTAGGTTGGCGTTCTTTCAAACCTCTACGCATTTGTGTCAAGAGGGTTTCAGTTAGTTACAGAGAGATTCGTTTGAAATCATACTGGTGAGAAAGCAAAAGTCTTAAGTTTTGATTGAATGGGAAAGGTGCCCAAAGTATCACTTGTGATAGTGAGCCTCATCAAGCCAGGCGCTCTGGGAATTTTGCTGGCAAACCCTGCGTTACAGTTACCTAATCAAGTTAAATCTGGAGTTTTTGGGGGCGCTGTGGGAAATGCTTTTAGTTGTGCCATTATTAAAAAACCAAACAAAAACAAAAAACCCTTTAGGGGATATCTGCTTTTCTTACCAAAGTCCTGCCAGTAACCTGACTCCCTTCCAAAGTCTTGTGACATGAAACTTGTTTTGCAACCTGCATGTGCAAACTGCACAAATCAACAAATGCAACTGTAATATAACAGTAACATACTTCCAGACATCAAAATAATTACATTTCTTCTCTAAGTTTTATGCAATGTTTGAAGATTGTTATGCAAGATTTAAGTTTTTCTGCATGAATCTCAGGGCTGTTTTGATTCAGGTCTAATACATTATTAATATACTTCAGGTCTTCAGAGTGAAGAACGTAAGCATTTTGCATTTGTGGTTTCAAAAATAAAACTGTGACATACATCCTGCATAATTGTCTTTTTCACTAAGTCAGCACTGAGGTGTGATGCAGCCCCTCCGAAACTCTTCAGTCTGAGAGTCGAACACCAGCCAAGCAGCATGGAGATCACAGCTCTGTGCACAATTATGGGTGAGTACTAGAATGTGTCAAGTCTCCAGTGAGTCTGTGTGTGGGCTTTAGGTTTTGGATTTAATGAACAGATGGGTTAATAGTTCAGCCTTTAATCTTTTCACAAAATTAAAGAGAAATCAAGTTTTTGTATTTCACATGAATTCAAACATACTTTACAATAAACTGCAAGCTTTGTGATTATTTGATATTACAAGGTAATTGTTACTTTATAATCGTTAAACCATCTTGCAAAACTGAGCAACTTTTACAAGCAAAAAGTTGCCTCATTGTTGCTAAACGTCTTACATTTTATTGCTGTCTGTGTTCAGTTTACAGTTTCAGTATTTTAATGTAGTTTCTAAATACAGAAGTTTTTGATCATATTTAATTAATTTGAGTTCATTTACCTATGAAGTTGTTTTTAGATAATGAAGTGAAATTAAGCAAATGTTAATTAATTATTGATGTGCTCATGAGGTAAATAATACAACAGACAATAAACAAAATAAAAAGCATTGCAGCTGAGCATTTAATTAGGGCATAAAACCGTATTTGCACTCTGGCATCCTGATACAGATCACATATTCACCCATAAAGAGCATCGTTCAAAAACCCCACATGTGTTTCATATGAAACCTTGTAACAGAAGATGCAGATGTATCTGTTTTGTGGGTAATATGTGAAGCTTTCATTACATATGTCACGTAACAGAGCAGCAAAGAGGAGACAAATGGTGTCAG